TTCATGTAACAATAATATCCAAACATTTCATATAACAATAATATCCAAATATTTCATGTAACAATAATATCCAAATATTTCATACAACAATAATATCCAAATATTTAATATAACAATAATATCCAAATATTTCATTAAACAATAATATCCAAATATTTAATATAACAATAATATCCAAACATTTCATATAACAATAAAATTCAAATATTTTAAAACCACATTTAATGATAAGTATTGTCAAAAACCTTTGATAAACCTATAATGATGCTTATGGTAAATTATCGGATAATCAAATAAAATGATAAAAAAATCAAACGAATCAGCTATACATCATGTAAGATAAATTATTTCATATTCTGTTAAGTTTTACTTTGAAATCATATTTGTAACTGTAGTGTAAGTTATTTACAGCAAAATAATTGAAAATTTGGTTGAACAAATTTCTTTCTGAAAATCTTTGAAAAAACAGAGAAGACTGATATTGGTTGAACTGATAACTACTCATAAATGATATTTCATCCTCCTTCTTGCCTCCTTTAAATGATAGCTCCTCCTCCTTCTCACCTTCTTTAAATCATAGCTTCTCCTGCTTTTCACCTCTTTTAAATGATAGCTCCTCCACCTTCTTACCTCTTTTAAATGATAGCTCTTTCTCACCTCCTTTAAATGATAGCTCCTCCTCCTTCTCACCTCCTTTAAATTTTTTAGCTATTTTTAATTTGTTGGTGAAAATTTCTTTATCAATTAAACATTTGAAAGTTAAAAAAAAAATCTTTTATAGTATAAAATGTGCAAACAGTTTATTTTCAAAGTATTTGGTGAACTTCTTTTATCTAGATAAAGATTATTGCATCAGCCTTTTGTTGTAGAAACTAAGAAGAAGATTTAATAATGGTATTTACGCACATTGGTGTAGTGGTAATAAATTTTTTATTAATTCTATTTTTACGATATAGATTATATACTTTCTTTTTTCTTCATTTTAAAGAAGTGTTATTATTTCTAGAGCAACAAGTTTATGAAAAAAAACTTCATAAAATTTGAAAACATTTGAAACCTTTATAAAATTTGAAAACATTTAAGCTTGAGTCATCATAATTGTATAGAACTTAGCTGTGAAGTAACCAGGAAATTATGCACTGTAGAGATATATTTATTCCAAATATTAGAGATATTAGACGATCATATGTCTCATCACAATTAATCCGGATAGTGGTGGATTTTTATACTAGGTTAAAATTATAGTAGCATTAATAATGAATTATGTTTTATCATGTGCAGGATTATTGAGAAATATTTAAAAAAAGGTAAACCTGAAATACTAAATTTATTATAGGAGAACTCAAATATTGATGATCCTTGTTTACCTTTAATGAGTTCATACTAGATATAAAACCAAAAAAATTAATATGTATATAAAAAAAAAATATTAATGTACTTTAAATTTTGTTAGAATATGTAAGTTATATGTCATGTTGCACTGAAATAAGTAGGATTCCACTCAGCGACTGCAGTGAGATAACCCACACTTGTAGAGTCTATGCAGTCTCACCATGTCGCTGCTCTTTGTTTAACTAGTAAATAACATTTTATAACATTCTAACAGGTTGGTAAAACAATCTCAGATAGTTCTTGTGGTAAACCAAAAATAGGGCACATAATCCTTTTTATCGTTTTTAGACCTTCTATTTGAAACGAAAGAATTTATATGTTAATACGCAAAGAGAAAATGTGCCCTTTTTAAAACCTTAAGCCATATATAGTATAATATACTAAAACTATTTTATTTATAGTATCTTACAAATACTTATAATTTTTTTTTAATAAAAATTCGATTGTTCATAATTCTAAACTCATAATAGTTTTTTATAATAGTTGCAAAACAGTTTTATAATCACATAGATACACAAATGTCATATTGTTTTATGGGCTTCACTGTTTTAATAAACTAATTACTGCGAGCACGATTTTAACTCAATAACACACTTACAGAATACGTAATATCCAATATCAAAATGTTCCAAAAAGTTCCGGAAAAAAAATTTAAAAGTTCAAAAAATGGTTCTCTGGTTTTTCAAAATATTTATGTGCAGGATTACAGTCATGAATAGTCATTTTGTACAGTAATGCCAAAATTAAAAATATTGTATAAATGGCTACGCATACATTTTACCAGATTTTGTTCATGCAAAATTTGTAATAATGTTGTAAACTTTGATTTTACGTAGAATATTATTTTCAATTGAGAGCAGTGAAAGTGCTCACTACTCAAAATTGTCTCTCGTGATTTATGCCTAAATGCGTGATGCGCCCAAATAATGCATTTATGCAATATGCAATTAATGCAATATACAAATCCTTTTTTAAAATTTATTATGAAATTTATGACATCAATTTTCAAGTAGAAGTAAATTACAAATATAAAAAAATTGTATCGCCATGGATTACTAAAGGCATTCTAAAATCTTCAAAAATTAAGCAAAAACTTTATATTAAATATTTAAAATCAAAAACAACTGAGAGTAAGACTATTTATAAAAATTACGTAAGATTATTTGAACACCTAAGGAAAAATTCAAAAAAAATATATTTCACTAATTTACTTGAAAAATACAAATTAAACTCAAAACGCACTTGGCAACTAATGAACGAAATTACTGGTAGCACTAAATAAATTTCGCAATCTTTGCCCTCAGTTATTAAAGTAGATGATAATCTTCTTCTTGATCAAAAATCAATTGCTTCTGAATTTAATAAATATTTTGTATCTGTAGGACCAAACCTAGCCGAAAAAATTCCGAACCCTAAAAAATTAATAAAAGCAACATATGACCCTCTAAACTTGTATCTAAATTCTTTTGATTTGTCTTTTGAAGAGTTTGAAAGTGCTTTTAAATTGTTAAAGTCAAATAAAGCAGTTGGTCCTGATGATGTCAACGGAAATATTATTATAAGCTGTTTTGACGTTTTAAAAGACATACTTTTTCAAATTTTTAAATGCTCTATTAATCAGGGAGTTTTTCCTGATGATTTAAAAATAGCAAAAATTATTCCTATATTTAAAGAAGGAGAAAAAACTAATGTAAAACACTATCGTCCAATTTCCATCCTCTCTGTTTTTTCTAAAATTTTAGAAAGAATTTTGTACAACAGAATATACAATCACCTTTTAACAAACAAATTATTATATAACATGCAATATGGATTCAGAAAAAATAATTCAACAGAGCATGCAATTATTCAGCTTACAAGAAGTATATCAGACTCATTTAACAATTCTAAATTTACATTGGGAATATTTATTGATTTAGCGAAAGTGTTTGATACAATTGATCATCAAATTCTTACTAAAAAATTAGAATATTATGGTATAATAGGCAATGTTTTAAAATGGTTGAAAAGTTATTTAACTAATCGTAAACAATTTGTTTATGCTGATAAATTATTTTCATCAAATTTGTTAAATATTACATGTGAAGCTCCTCAAGGATCCATATTAGGACCTCTTCTCTTCCTTATTTATATTAATGATCTATACAAAGCCTCGAATTTAATAACAATTATGTTTGCTGATGACACTAATTTATTTATGTCTCACAAAAGCATTCCTACTTTATTTCATAACGTGAACATCGAGTTAATCAATATATCTGACTGGTTTAAGACAAACAAACTATCCCTAAACATTGATAAAACTAAATGGATTCTTTTCCATCCTCTTACCAAAAAACATAAACTGCCAATTAACACTCCACTTGTTATTGACAATATACAAATTAAAAAAGTAACAGTAACTAATTTTCTAGGAGTTTGTTTAGATGAAAATCTTACATGGAAAAATCACATTAAAAACTTATCAAGTAAAATTTCAAAAAGTATAGGAATATTGTACAAAGCGAGAAATGTCTTAAATAAACAAACTTTAGTACAATTATATCACTCATTTATTCATTGCCACATAAACTATGCAAACATTGCTTGGGGTAGTGCAAATAAAAACAAACTTAAACCTCTTTATTGTCAGCAGAAGCATGTAGCACGTCTTATTTTAATAATTTTATTAAGCAGCCCAATTTTCAAACAAATCTTTTTAAATTTTGTATTGATTATTGCGGACCATTCTTATGGAATAAAATAGTTTTAAAAAATTTTACTGAGGATTTTATTATTCAAAGTAACTACTTTTCTTTTAAACAAAAGCTTAAAGAACTCATTTATACAATCGATGATTTAACAATATACTTCTGATATTTTTTGTGATCTTTATTTTTACCATTTATTTAAACATGAACTTATAAAAAGTATATGTGTATCCTTAACAACTAAAATTTACATATATAATAGATAAAACGCATCTGTATTTATTATGGATTATTTTAAGTTTCTTACTTTTATTACGTTAACTTATTTTTATTTTTTAACCTTGTAATTATCTTTAAATTTTAACACGAACATTTCTTAGCGGTACTCGACGACAAGACCGTATGGCCTTCTACGAGTCCCCGCGTTCTTTTATTTTCTAATAACGACCATTATATTCATATATAAATTTATTATTATATATTTGTATTTGAAATATTGTAATGCTTATTTTACATGTAATAAAAGAACAAAAAAAAAAAAAAAAAAAAAAAAAAAAAAAAATGCATTTTTTAAATAATAACATTACGTTCAAAAAAACAACGCGCATTTGTAATAGGCACAATATACTACGCTAAAAAGTATCACATCCTGCTAAAAGGTACTAATCTCCTGCACTTTGGTAAAAGGTACCTATGTAAGGGAAAGTTTAACTGGACAACGAGAAATTTAACTATTGTTTTAAATAGGTCAAAATCATTCTTGGTATAAAGTGTATTCTTGAGCAAAATAGTAAAGAATAGCACAATTTTGAATGGCTTTAATGGATTTAATAATCTAGACAAAAAATGTCCGAAGATAAAAAGTGGTCGAAGAAAAAGATTCCTCTGTAATAAAAATATAAAATAAAGTATTTTTACCTGAATTTAATGTTTTGAATGCCTTTTCAACACCTTTTTCAATATTTAAAACACCTTTTTGATCATTAAATTTATTCATAGCCAGTTTAATTTTTTCTTTATTAAACTTAGTAGCTTGGATCAAATAATTTGCACAATTAGATACCATTGATGGATCTTCACCGGCAAATATTACATTAAAATAATCATTTTCATCCAAGGTATCAATTATTGATTTTGCTGCTATTTTTGCAATCACTAAAAAAATGAATAAACCAAAAATATATATATATAATATGTATACACTATATATCTATAATATATATATATACAATATATATGTATATACAATATATATATGGTATATATAGTATATATATATATAGTATATATATATATACATATATATATATATATATATATATATATATATACATATATATATATATATATATATATATATATATATATATATATATATATTTATATATATATATATATATATATATATATATATATATATATATATATATATATATATATATAATAATATATATATACAATATATATATATACAATATATATGTACAATATATATGTATATACACTATATATCTATAATATATGTATATACAATATATATATATATATATATATATATATAATATATATATATATATATATATATATATATATATATATATATATATATATATATATATATATATATATATATATATATATATAATTAATTTAATATTTATTATCACATTCACTAAAAAAAAAATTTGAAAACAACCTATGTTAGTTCCAGTCATTGAACCAGAATTATCTATCAAAATAACAACATCTTTTGGACTTGCAGCACTTTGTTGATACCAGAGCCGACGTCTACAGTCAAATAAATCAACGTTGGTATCGTTCAATCCATTTAAGTTCCCGGGATACATACGCAAAAGTCCTAAATGTTTTAAATCTACTTTGGTTAAACTTGTTATAACCATATTTTACAAATAGCATTTATAAAAACATTTAATACTGAACAAAAAAATAGTACGAACCTTAAAATATCACATCCAGCAAATTAATGAAATGAAACATTGATGATATTGATGATAAAGTAGGTAAAGTTGTTGAAGTTAAAGATCATTTTTTCAAAATGTGAATTTAATTTGGAAAACAAAGTACAAGAACAAGAAGAGCTGCTATTTAATACTTTAATTAAAGCTACAATTGAATGTATAATGAAAATTAAAATTTATAAAACTGCTAAATAGATTTTACTCCAATTGCTCGGAATTGGACAGTGATAAGAACAACTATGGTTTTATTAATGCTGAAGCTCAATTAGAATATAATAACAATTATTATTATCTCCCCAATTATGCTATTATCTCCCCAAGCACAACTAAATTTATTAACTAAAGGTACTGTTAAAGAAAATATTATTTTTGGATGGTATTAGCAAAAGAACGAGTAAAACAATAAGAAAAAACTTCATTAAATTTTAGGCCGATGATTTCAAAATATAAAATTTAGACTTTCTTAGGGATGCTCTGTCAACAATAAAACCCACATCAACACAAAACAAATGGAATTTTTCCACTGTCAGTCATCTTATTAAAAAGAAAAGAAGTGGGTTATCAAGGGAAACATTGAATACAGTATGTTTTTTAAAATTCTTTTTCAAAACTGAGAAATAAATTTATTTTAAAAAATAAAATGTTGTTCTCCATTTTCAATTTTTCAACAATGTATTTAGGGTTTCGTATCATACATAAATTATAGTTTTTAAATAATTATTTCAATATTGTTAGTTAATAATTATTTTTTAGTATTTAATTTTTTCCGATAATGTAACATATTTATTAATTATCTTTTAAATAAATAAAATAAATTGAATGCGTTTTCTATTATTGATTTATTGGCTTATATACTTTCCAAGTACATTCTGTACTTATCTTTTTTTGCACAAACATGTAGATATAATTTGTGGCCATTGGTAAACTTATGATAAATACAAAATTGATCAATTTGAGATAAGTATGCAGTTTTGTTATGTTTCGTTAGATCTTTACTTTGGTCAAACTTTGACTGCTATAGTTTGTTTTTTAATTTTATTTTTATGAAAAATAATTTTTTTCTTCATTATTACTTGATAAAGGCAACAAATCAAATTTTCAAACTCTTCTTCTGCAGAATGTCATATTTGCATTTATCATAAATTGAGCCGCAGATGTTTGAGAGAAAAAATCGAGATGCTTGAGAGAAAAAAAAAATATTTCTTGAGTAATAAGAATCATTGGGAAATCTTAAACAGTAATCTTTAATAAAATTTCTGTTTCTTCAGCGTTTTAAATTCAAAAACAAAATAGTTAGTTATAAAATAGTTATTTGTTAAGAAAAAAGCTGATGGTGTCAAGAAAATAGACTTGATTCTGGTACCCAGTATCAACAGCATAATGTAGCAGCCATAGCAGTTTCATATTTGGTAGCTCTCAGAAAAGCCAAAAACCTCACACCATGCCAAAAACTTGTTTTTTCTACCAACCAAATACATTGTTTGAGTTATGTTTGTTGTTAAATATGTTAACAAACTGATACAATATTATTGTCTAATAACACCTTCAGTTGACGAATAGATGTCTGATGATATTTTTGAGCAGATAATCCAGGAAATACACTCTGTTTTCCTTAAATTATTTAGCATCCAACTTGATGAATCAAAAGATGTAGCAAACTGCTCTCAATTACTGGTTTATGTGAGGCATATTTATAAAATGGAAATTAAAGATTTCTATTTGCAAACCACTTGAAACTAAAACTACTGAACACAATGTATTTAATACTGTCTTTTTTTTTCAAAATCTTGACATCCCTTGGAAAAATGTTTGTGGTGTTAGCACAGACCTGGCACAGGCAATTCTAAGTAATGAATGGATGTAGGTCAGGATCTCAACAGTGGTAAGGAATGCATCACCGATTGCCTTTGAAACTCACTGTATGATTCATTTACAGGTGTTAGTAACGAAGATTTTACTAAACGAATTTGCAGAGATACTGAAAAACGTTTGAAAAACGGTTATACCTCAACCAATGTTGATAAAAATCTTGATGAGAAGTTTCGACAGTTTTTTTTTTATAGTGCCCCAAGGGGGATCCTAAGTGCCGAAAGTTTTGTAAAAAAGTAGTGCTTAAGTAGTGTTTTAAACTGTTTTCAAACTATCCATTGAATTGGATGCATCTAATAATGCTCTGTTATTTCACACTGATGTGAGTTAGTTGTCAAGAGGCAAAGTTTTAAAACGTATTTTTTATCTTTGTGATAAGTTGAAAACGTTTTAATTCAAAGATCTAATCCACACTTAGAAGCACTATTTGATGAAAAAGCCAAACATTTCAAGCTTCAACTTTATTTTCTTTTCAAAGTTTTATTAACTAAAGCTTCTTGTGTGACACACCTAAATTGTTGAAAATTTTACAATGTTTTAAGTAAGCATATTGCAATCTACGTTATACATAAAAGAGTTACACACTCCCAGCGGGCACAGAACGTACAAAAAATATGTACGTTCTGTTTGCGTTCTGTACGTTCTGTTTGCGTTCTTTCAATGTACGTTCTGTTTGCGTTCTGAACTTCCTAGACGTTTTGGAACTAGAACAATTTTGTTTGATCAGCGTAGAACGTTCAAAAGGTGTTCAGAGTGCCGTTTGAACGTTTAAAAGATGTCTTTTCTAGACCAAATTTGTACAACTGTGCTTAAATGGAAAGTCTTATTTAAGTTTTTTTACAAAGCCTTTAGAACGTTCTGAAGGGACGTCTTAAAGCGTGTAATCTAGAACCAGTTTAGAACGCGTCAGAGACGTTCCATCTAAATTTTACGTTTTTTACACTTCCTAGTGCCCGCTGGAACATTCGAAAATTGAGCTTAAATTAAGTTGGAATTAATATATAAAATTTTTACAAGGTAATCATTTTATTCCTTTGCAAATACTAACCAAAACTACAATTTTTTTGTTCATAAACTATTATAAATTATTTATAAAAAACTTATAACAAAAAATATGCTACCTATAAAGTATAAAATGTAAATAAAACCAAATGTTTAGAAGTCAAAAAACATAATAATAAGCTGCAGAATAAAACCAAATGTTTACAAGTCAAAAAATACGATAATAAGCTGCAAAAACGCAGTGATTTAGGAGCAACCTTATTAACTTTATTGTTGGGGTTGTTATTAGAGAGTCGCGTCTTTAAAAAGGTTGGGAGAAGCTGTAACCACAACCGTTTTTTAAAATGCATATAAAGTTGCAAAAGGATATTAGTCTTTTAATAACTTTGAAATTGAACTTGATTCCCGAGAAAATAGGTTAAAATGGGTATTTATTTAATGACAATCAAATTGTCATTAAATAAATACCCATTTTTAATCAAATTGTTATTAATTTAGGTCATATAAAATTACGAAATTGTAAATTACGTCAATTATATAGATTACAAAATAAGCAAAAAAAAACTTTGGTAAAAGTCAATAAGAAAAATTTTAATGCTTGATGAGTCATTTACTATAAGCCAAGAAAGTGTACAAGGTAGCGGAATTAACTTTCCAACCAATTTATTTTTCGATTTAGAGGAACTTTAAAACGTAACGGCAAAAGGAGTCTCGAATGTCTTGATTCTTATGGGATAAAAGAGGATTATTTAAAGAAATGTTTAGTTTCTGTGTCTACTGGTGATGGCGTAGCAGTTAGTTTGAATGCAACAGTGACGTTGTTTAATTAATCACTGAAAAATTTCCTTCTGTTATAGTTTTACATTGTGCTAATACATTGTAATTTTGACTAGAATTATCATTAGGAGATACTATTACGGAGATACTTTTACGGAGATTTTAGGTATCAATAGATTTAAAATCTTTACATCGTGTATCATTTTTTCTCCAATAAATAGCAGAAAGTTGCATTTATGAGCAAAATTAATTAACATTCAACTGCTGGAAATTAGTCGAGCTATAAATAAACGATTTAAAACTCAACTAATTGGGTGTCATCTACTTTTTTCTTTCCTCTAAATGCAAAATACTAATGCTTTTCTGCTAGCTGCAAATTCCATTAGCGTTTTTTATCATCTTGTGTAAAAATCTTTGCATCTTTGGATTCTTGGTGTAAATAAAATTCTGTTCCCTGACGTGTTATCTATAAAAAGAAGATTTTAAATAAAGATTTTTTGATAGGACTTGTCGTAACCTAAACTTCTAAAGGTTTTAAAAGTGTCCAAGATAGAAACAAAGAGAGCTAAAAAACAGTCCCTTGCCTGAGATGATGTTTTTGACAAAAAAAACAAGCACGATAGATTTTTTATATTAAATGTTGACATAGACATGCTTGTCCGACAGGTTATGCGGGAATCTCACAAGAGTCTTTTATGTTTTGGTTTTCATACACCTCGATACAATATTGTTAATTTATGGGCAATAGTTATCTAATGGACAAACTGTTTGTTTATGCAGTCGCTTGATTGTTATATCAATTTTTTATGCAGAGATTGAACAAGATGATTCTTGTTATATCGTGCAAAGATAGAACGAGAATCATCTTGTTCTATTTCTGCATTTTCGAGTATAAAATTTTTAAGATGAAACGATTTAAAAAATAAAAACTTTAGTAGACGTCACATAAAAGGATTTTTCTTTATTATGTTTTCTCAATTGTATCAAACTTCTCAAGGTGGGATATCTGAAAAATAGAGCTGGTCTTGTGAAGTTAACATTTCAATACAATTTTTGTAGACTATCTATCAAATTAAGGCGGCCGTAGGCGCAGTAGTTAGAGCGCTTGCTTTAGAAGCGAGATATCCAGAGTTCGAAGCGAGCTCTGGGTATATTTTCGCCGTCAGTAAGGATGGAAACGAAAACTTAAATAGTTCTATCCCAGTTAGGATAGAACTATTTCATTAGATCTTCTTGGGGCACCTAAAACAAAAATTAAAAAAATAATAATAATAATGTTAAAAATGAGTTAAATGTGACAAATTTACAGGTTTTTTGTTGACCTGGGATTTAAATTATCCGAATATAAAATGAGTTGATGATATCTTTACTGGTACATGTTCAAATCTAAATAGTTCAGAAATTCATTTAAAACTATAAACGACTGCTTTTTGTCACAAAATGTATTTTTTCCAACATTTCAAAAGACGGATAAAGATTCGACGAACATTCTTGATCTTATATTTACAGAAAATTCAAATCGTGTTTCTGAACCTACATCAAATTTTTTTATGTCTGAGTATTTCTATTCAACATATTTTTAAGCTATCACTTAAGTCGGGTGTGGTACCAAAAACATAGAAAGACTCAAACATAGTTCCGAGATTTAAAAATTGCGATAAGCTTGATCCTTCCAACTATTAACCTGCTTCTCTTTCGTCAGTTATATGCAAAATTTTAGAAAGGATATTAAAAAAATTATTATTCAGCATCTTTTAGACAATAATTTGGTAAATAAGAATCAGCATTGTTTTTTACCAGGTAAATCTTGCCTTACAAACTTACTTGAAAGTCAAGATATTGTAACTCTAGAGTTTGATATCCTCTTTACTGACTTTTCTAAGCGTTTGACAATTCACCATAGAAAACTTATATTAAGAATTGAAATGTACGGTATAAAGGGATTCATTCTTACATGAATTGAGTAGTAATGATCTACAGGATGACATAAATTCTATTTTTAATTGGTTCAATGACTGGAGTATGCAACTGAATATAGAAAAATGCAAAGTAATCTGAAATAGCTTCTTTATGAGGAAAGATTAAATAGAGTTTATTTAACAAACTTTTCTATGAGAAGAGAAAGAAGCGATTTAATTAACTTTTTTAAATGTTCTTTTTTTTTTTTTAATGTTGATTTAGGTGCCCCAAGAAGTCCTTACGGTCTTATCACAGAGCACCGCGGAAGAGCATAGGAAGTTCACGCCTCCTTCCTAACCGATGTCGCAAAACTTGTCCAGAGGTGGGGTTTGAACCACGGATCTTAAGTTTCTGAAGCAAGTGCGCTACCACTGCGCCACGGCTGCTCGCTTCTGCTTCTAATAATTCTTATCAGCTAAATACAGTATCTTCTCTAAGGAATTTTTGTCGACCAACTGGACCAGTTGGAAGTGTTCGTGATTATATCCACAATCATAGATATACTTCAAAGATCTGTAGACACTCGAGTAGAAGGAATTTTTTTTCAATCGTGTTATTCCAATTTGGAACAATTTGCCGTTTGATGTCGAACTTTATAAGTCAGTGTTAAACTTTAAAAAAAGTCTTGATGAACTTTATTATGTGAATTAAAAGTTCAAATTGTAGTTTTTAAACTTGCTGCTAAAGTGGATTACCACTTAGTGAGCATTTGCTCACCGCAGCAATTAAATAAATTAAATAAATAAATTTGTGTCATAAAGCACACAGAGCACATTATAAATTATCAGTTCTTCCAGCTAGAATACAAGTTCTATGAACTGTTACATCACTATTATTTGATATCGTGTAAAGAAATCTTTGATTTGTAAATTACAAAAATTGAGTAAATTATTTTTTTGATGTGAAAATCATCTGGTCTATTGTATGTTTCCTCGCTATTTCGTAACCATAATGATACTTTGTAGTTTAACAATTTGTATACTCTAAAATTTGTAGGTTTTTATTATATTTTATATAGATTGGAAACGAATGACTTTAATTTTTTATGATTTTATTTAACTTATTTCTCTGTTTATTTTTATGCGACGATGTTTCTTCGATAAAATAAGAAATAAATTAAGATTTCATGAAACATGTGTTTCTAAAGTTTCTTTGATAATTGAAAAATATATATGAATTTTTTAATTATTTTTTCCTCTTTTTTCTGTCCAGACTAACATTGTTTCAAAAATCAAGTTACAGCAATGTGAACTTTTTTTACCTTGCAAACATATTCCATAAAACGTTTTGAAAATATGAAAACCTTAACAATAGAAAAATTTAAAAACAAATAAAAAATAACAATTGCAAAACAATAAGTAGCAGCTGCAACCTTTTTTTTTTTTGATTTTAAGTGAAAATGATGACTGTCTAAAAAATTCAAATAAAGAAAAAAAATTATTATATAAAGTATTATACTTAACATATTTTACTACTTTGTTTGAAAATAATCTAAATATTCGATAGCCCAGTGTAACTCCTGAATAACTATATAACAAAAGGTTTTTTTTAATTATTAAGAAAATAAACTCTGTTTAATAAACTGTTTATTATTTAAATATATTTTTAATTAAATTTTAGTTTTTGTGAAAGGGATTCCAACGTTAAAATAACGTTGATCAACGTCAATCAACGTTATTTCAACGTTGTTTTAAGGTTGTGTGCCAGCAAGTTTGTAGTTTATACAAATAGCAAAATAAAAAAATTAAAAATAATAAATAACAAAAACTTATCAAGAATACTACTTCTAAAGAAAATTCAGCAACAAAAAAAGCTTTGTTGCTGAATTTTCTGAATTGCTAAAAACTGTCAAAAATGAAAAATATCTTCAAATATAAGTCCTTAGGAGATTTGTAAAACTTAATTGTAGGGAGTACCTAGTAAGCACCGGACGTTTTTACAACTATGACACAAGAAAGAAAGAAAATCTCATATTGGTTTAAGAAAAACAGATTGTCCCTCAATATTGATAAAACAAAATGGACTCTTTTTTACACAATATCCAGAAAATAAATGCCTCCTTAATACGATACCAGACCTCTTTATTGGTAATACAATACTAAAAAATGAAAAAGTTACAAAACTTCATAGAGTTCTTGTAGAAAAAAATTTATCCGGGAAACAACAAATCGATAACAACTCCATAAAAGTTACAATAAGTATTGAAATTACACCCAAAGTTTGACATATGTTAAATAAGCAACAATTGAAACAGCTATATTATTCGATTATCCATTTAATAAATGTAAATATTATATATGGAAGCGTGCGCAAAACTAAACTTAGATCTCTTTAACGGCATCAGAAACATGCTGGTTGCTTAGTTAATATTGTAACTCGTTTTTTAAATTCAAAACCTTTTCAGAATAATTTATGTTTCTTGATTAAATGTAAAAATTATTTATCTCCTAATGTATTTACAAACCTTTATTATGTAAAGCCCATAAACAAAAACAATCTTCGTAATGAAAAAAAACCTCCAAGAACCTTTTCTACCAAAATAAATTTGAACAAATATTTATTTCTTATTGCGGAAAACGTTTATGAAATAAAATAGTTTTGCCTAAACTTGATTTTTCTTTGAAATGGACTTCTTTCAAACAAAAATTATATATTAAAAGAAGTTCTTTTCAACAGAAAATATTTTTTCTTGTTTTTAGTTCTTTTGTTTGATATATTTTATCCAGTATATTTATATTTTAAATGCACAGTTCTATATACCCAGCTAACAAAAAACGTTCAAGAACGTTCGACGAACGTTGTGAACGTTCGAGTACGTTCTATAAACGTTTGCAACGTTTGTTGAACGTTTTGTGTTAGCTTGGTAGTTTACGTTGACTTTTTTATATTGGTTAACTTGATTTTTTTAATAATAGTCATAATATTTGATATTGTAAAGGGCTTCATAATAAGATCGTATGATCTTCTGAAAGTCCTGCCGATTATATTTGTAATAAAGCTATTCTGTAATTATAATTTTTAATTGAAGGCAAATAAATATATATTAAAAAAAAAAAACGTTTTAAAAACAATTTAAAACTTATTTAAACGTTTTTTAAACATTTTAAAAACGTTCTTTGCTTACTGGGTAGTGATTGCATCAATTCTCTAGTTCGAGTTATACTACTTTTTGTAACGTTACACTATTTTTTGTTTTTTCTAAAAATTAGCGTCGAGGAAGTTGGCGGTCGGGAAAGCAACCGTAAACCACCAAAAAAATAATAAAGAGAACAAAATTACCTGACGCATCGCAGAAGTATTGGAGAACAACTGAGCTATCATTATTTTCTTTCGATTTTTCATTATCTTTGAAAACTTTGTTGAGTGGTTCAGTCCATCTCACAGTGTTTAGTGTATATTTATTATACTCATATATGTTTGTGGGAACATGCACAAAACTTTCACTTTGGTTGATAGGCACATCAGTCGGAAATTCCTTTACAATTTTTACAATAGAATTTTTGTTATTCGAGTTGTTTACAAAGCGTGAACTTAAGTAGTCAAACCTCTCAATCTTTGGATCATATGTATAATTATTTCTTAAATTTACTACATTTTTTTCTAAATTTTTTAGTAGAACTTTTTTTTTGGAAAATATTTTTTCAATGTCATTTGCAAACTTATCCAAAATTTCTTGTCCATTTGTTTTATTATACTTTGCTATGTTTGACACGTTCCTAAATATTTCGTTCAACTTTTTGTAATTTGTTAACTTGTTTAAATGGAAGTCTAAAACTTGCGAGAATATTATTGCAGCTTGCTTGAGTTTTGGTTCAATTTCATTACTTTGAATACTTTGTGAATGAATTCCAGTTAACGCTGTTGAGAAAACAATTATTGTTAAAACTAACGGCATTATTTGTTAAAAAATAAAATGTGTATAGTCGCTTCATCAATTTCTGTTTGAAGATGACAAGAAATATCGAGAATTTGAAGATACCTCGATTCTGTTACTTTTATTTCTTTCGATTCTTTCACTTTTAATTCTGCCTTATTGGCTTTGTTTTTTATTGAAATTTTTTTGACGCCAGAATTTTTTTTTTTTCTTTTTAAATATCTGTTTAATGCTTAAAAAAATTTTTAAACAACTTGTGCTTTTCATTCTTTTTTGACATTTAAATATTTGGATTTGAATAGTTGACATTTAAAGAATACTAGACATTTAAATATCTTTTCGACGTTTGAAACTAAAGCTAAATTTATATTTATAATCATTTCAACGTTCGACGCTTATTTTTATTTTTGAGTAACGAACAACTTGCAGCGTAAGCTGCCAATTTGTTATTAAATTACACAGCCTATTTGTTATTAAATTACTCTTTTGAAGTTTAAATAAACGTTCAAACTGATATCTAAGATAAATAATAACTTAGCAAAATACTTGTTAATAAACTTTTAATAAAGTTTATTAACAATTATTTTAAGTTCAAACTGATATCTAAGATAAATAATAACTTAGCAAAATAATTGTTAATAAACTTTTAATTGTTAATAAAGTTTTTTTTCCATAAGTTCTAAACATTAATTAACGCTAAAATTCTAAACATTAAGGCTTACTTTATTACAATGCTCGCATAATATAGCGTAATGCTAACATAAGCTTGAAGTTTGTTTTTAATTGAAGTAAATTCGTTTTCACACGCCCAAATTTGACGTGTTTTTTGGTAATGAGACATTTTTGTGTTAATACATTTAACATTTAACAAATCTTTTTGGTAATAAGACAAAACTCATTTTTCATATCATAAAAATAGAATAAAATTATCATAATGCCCTTTAGATTTTAGAACAGGGTTATACTATTCTTATGAGAACTGTGTTGAAAGTAACAACGTAATTACTACAATTATTATAAAAAACATTCTTAAAATGAAATCTTTTATCAAAATGATAAATTCTCCATTTGAAAAAGCTTTTTCTATTTTTTAAATTAGATGAAAATAAAATAATATAGAGACAAAAGAGAAAGATAAAAGAGAGAACATTAAAATATTGCAATTTAAAAAACAACAACTCGACATTACATTTGAAAAAATTCTAGTTGTATAACAGTAAACTTACGAATAATATATATCACGTGATGTAACTTAAACAGCAATTGATATAATATCTAGACTTATGATTGGTTATAAGACTTATGATTGGTTATATGACTTATGATTGGTTATAAGACTTATGATTGGTTATAAGACTTATGATTGGTTATAAGACTTATGATTGGTTATAAGACTTATGATTGGTTCTCGGATCTTATGGTTGTGTAGACTTATAAAAATAAATAATAACATGAAATAAACTTTTTTAAGCTGAAAAAAAAAACGCGCATTTCTTACAAAGTTTACTCTTAAAATTAAAACTTAAATAAGCATGACGTTTGCGGATTTTACAATTAAAAGTAACTCAGCTGTTTGAAAATATTTTCTACGAGAAGAAAAAGGGCAAACAGCGATGCGTAAATTGCCAAACTGCAAGAGGATTTAAAATATCTGTGGTGGTTCAATAAAAGGACTTCATTTATATTCATGTTGTTGGTGCATAATGTGAAGGTAGAAAGTCTAACCCAACCTAATATTTACAAAGGGGCTGTCTATTAATTACGTCAATAAATTTTTTAAAATTTTTACCTCACCCCCACCTCCTTGTTAAAAATTTATCAAATTTCCATAGACCTCTCCTGCTTTAAAATTACGTCAACCTTTGATTACCTCCTCGCCCTTGACAAAGAAACTACGCTACAAACTAAGCCTAATTTTCCGTTATTTAAGTAACGAAACTCAAAAAAAAAAAGGAAAAATTGTTGACGTCAACTTTAATTGACCTCCTCCCCTCCCCATGTCAACAGTTGTCAAAAAAGTTCACACCCTCCCATCCCCCTATTTTGTTGACGTAATTAATGGACAGCCCCAAAGAAAGCACATCAGATAAACCACCAAAAAAGAAATCTAAACAACTAACAGAATACTTTTTAATTTTTGAAAAGGAAAATAAAACACTTCATGCTACACTTGCTTGTCTAATGGCGTCTGACGGGTTTTCATTTAATGTGATTTGTTCTTCAATATATTTACGTGCCGCTTCAACTGCTATGGGATTTAGAAATCTACCAACGTCAGTAAACACAACTCGTAATCATGTAGTAGAGTAGAGCAAAAAAGTAAGATTAGGTTTACTTCAGCAAGTTAAAGCGCTCAAGAGTACAGAATTCGGGATAGTAGAGAAATTTTCTTTGTCTTTTGAAGAATAGACATTACTTCGAAATCGTCACTATATAATTCTAAACGTTCATGGAAAAAATTCTCAGTTTTGGAGTTTGGGTTTAGTGCAAATAACAGGGTCAATGCTAGCAGAATAGTGCATTAAACTATTAAAAAAAAAATTTAAAGATCATTGTCTTAATCTACACGACAACAGTGTGGTTATAATGACCGACGGAGCTAGTGTTATGAAAAAAGTTTGAAGGTTGCTGGCTGCAAATCAACAATTATATTTTGCCCACGCCATACAACTTGCTGTAATTGATGTTCTTTATAAAAAAAGAGAATTCGATGCAAATCAGCTAAAATTTGAAAATGAATTTTTTGACTGTGATTTAACCGAGAAGGAGGATATTGAGGACGATTTACTACAATCATGAAACTTTAAGATCGAAAATTGAACTAAATGAAGCTCATTATTGACCAGTCATTAAAAAAGTATCCGAGTTGATAATAATATTTAGACGATCACCTACTAAAATTAGACGATCACCTACCAAGAACGACATCTTACAAATGTATATTAAGGCTGAATTTGGAAAGCAACTGTCTTTAATTATGGATTGCAAAACAAGGTGGAGCAGCCTTCTGTTAATGATTAAACAATTTTATAAAGTAAAAAATTATATACCAAAATCATTATTTACTCAGCGCAAGATAATTCTATAGCTCTGTCGCATGATGATTTGACAATATCATCAGACATTATTACAACTTTAGTTCCTATTAAAGCAACGGTTGAAGCACTTTCTTGCCGAGATTTTAACCTATTTAAAGCTGACATTGCTATTGATTTTTAATCTATTTACAGCTGACATTAACCTTTTTACAGCTGACATACAGCTGATATACACACCTAACCTATTTACAGCTGACATTGCTATTAATTTTATGCTTACAAAATTAAAAGATACTGACAATAACACATGCAAGTAAATGTGTACAACTTGAACGGATCGTATACATGAACGCTGAACTGATATGAGTATACTTCTGCAATATCTGCATAACGGTCGAAGCTCAATTGAAGTCGATGAAGAAATAGTTACAGTGCCTTTTTTATTGAAATGTTGAAAACTGTTGGTAAAATTGCTGGAAAGATTAAACGCTTCCAATCCTGCTTTAATAAGAGCATCAGTTGAGCCTGATATGCCAGATTTTATTGAAGAACCTGAAACTAAAAAGAACACTTTAAGTATTAAAGAGGAGCTTGGTAGTGTAGTTAAAGAAGTGCAACCACCGATGCAACCAGTTAGACATGAAACATTGTTATAAAAAATTCAAAAAGAAATGACATTATTTGAAAATGGTGGTAAACGTGGTGATTATTTAGAAAGAGTTTATTCATTTCTAATGACGGTGAAACCGACAAGTGTCGAGGCTCAGCGGGCATTTTCTTCCGCAGACTGGACGATGAAACATTTGACGCGTTGTGCTTCCTGAAGTCATATTTCAAAGTACATGAAACATGATATATTTCTTTATTTCTAATCAAATTTCTTAACATTAATTAACATGTTTTTTTTTCTATGCATGTATCGATGTAATGCAAACAGCATCACTTATAAAATATATTTTTGTTTAAGAGTATAATGTTTTTATTCTACTTAACAAAAAACAACCTGATTCTAGAAGTTTAGAACTTGAAGACTCTGAATCTCTTTATGCGTGCATCTTACATCTCTTTAGTTCTTTAGTCAAGATTTAGGTTTGTCAATATTAATAATTGCCTTCCTTTATAAGGTGAAAAAAATTTTTTTGTATTATTTTACTAATCATACAGTTGCTTTCTTAATTTTTTTCTAATAGATAATTGTTACTACTGAGTAAAGTCTTCTGATTAGGCTTAAAAAAAATAATGGCTCAATGTTATATATACAAAGTTATTTCTGCTAAAAGTTCTACTTGTATAAATAATGTAGAGCAATTGCTAACTGGAGTATTAATAATCTAGATAGAAATAGCTTTATATCTTTATTAAAAGATTTATTTATGAAATGATTGTAACATAAACTTACTTCTGTTAGGTTGTAATCATTTCATTTTAACTATACTTGCATCTTTGTTACTCATAGTTGAGAATGGTACTTTTTCAGTATATATAAAAAATAATTTTACATACACATAAAAAAATAGTTATTAATAAAAACACACACACATTATTATATACATTATTTATCATAAATCTGTATATCTATCAATCTATTTATTATATATCTTTATCTATATCTACATATCTATATATCTATGTATCAAAAAATATATATATATATATATATATATACATATACATATACATATATATATATACATATATATATATATATATATATATATATATATATATATATATATATATATATATATATATATATATATATATATATATATATATATATATATATATATATATACATACATACATATATATATATATATATATATATATATATATATATATATATATATATATATATATATATATATATATATATATATATATATATATATATATGTATATATATATATATATATATATATATATATATATATATATATATATATATATATATAGATCCCGCCTTAAAATGACATAAGGGACCCTTAAGGGTCCTATAAGGGATAAAGGTATATTAAGGGCAAATTTTTTTTGACCTTTTTTTTATATCAGTTTATATTTATAATAGCTTATCATGCTTTTTTTGATAAAGTTTAGCTTATATTAATCAATTTTTTTCATTAAAATTTGTTTATGGCAAATCATAATAAGGGATCGGTAAAGGGCAAAATCAGGGCTAGCCCTTAGTC